AGGCTGTAGCCGATAACACGGGACAGATCCTGCAGTGTATGCATCACGTACGTCGTCGTCAATGAGCATTGCCACGTGCAAATACTTAATTGGAGTGGCCAGGGCCATCCATGTACTATGCTTGCGTGCATTATCACGCGCACGCAGCTGCGGGCGGTGGTTGTGTGTTGCGAAGACGTCGAGCGAACCAAAGTGCACAGGAAAGGCTGCGCTGCTGAACCACCGTGGGCCCGTAGGTACACAGATGCAACCCTCACTCGCAATCTATCCAATCGTCCCAGCAGTGAAAATGGCGGCAGCCACGGAAACACATGCATGTGCGCTCGCGTGGCGGGAAAGAAAATGCAAACTACAAAGAACGCACGGAAAATGCGTGCCCTTGCTTCCTTGAACTGACCCCTGTACTGACCCCGCTGTACGTGTACATGGTACGGTCCCTCTTCCTTATCCGCGCACACACCCCACGCACACATACGCACCGAACCAATCTTGATGCCTGCAGGAGTTACCCAGGCGGTCTCGTTGAACTTCTCAGTCACCACAAGAATTTTGTCGCAGATTTCCTTGGGAGGCTTCGGCGGGGGCTTGTGCTGCGGCTTCTCGCGGTCATGTTCCTTTCCGCCGCCGAAGACAGGTCCAGCGGTGAGCAGCAGCAGGGCCGCCAAAGCAAGCAAGGTCGTGTTGCTACCGCTGCTGCTGTGGCGAGACATGTCGATTTGTTGTTCTCGACAAGTGGGGATGTGCAGATGTCCCAATGGACAATAAGGCCTGATTATATGAAAGTGTAATGGGCCGAGTGTATTGATTGAACAAGATGATGTACTCAGAAATTTGTCAAACATCACTCTATATACTCGATCGCGTGCTGCAGGTACAACGTTATCAGCCGACCCGAGACTGTAGCTATAGCCGGTCCGAGACTAGCCGACAGTATTAACCCAGCCGAGCCAAAGTCGGTCGGCCGAGCCAATCTTGTCGATCACAGACCGAGCTATTCACGCCTGGCAGCACTGAGGCGATCGACCGGGCTGGCCGAGCATGGAATCCCGACGTCCTCCGGGTGCCGTATACTACTGCTTCATCTCGTTCCGCCATAAAAGACGAAGTCTGCACCCGAAGATGCCCGCCTCTAATGTTTCGGTGACCTCATGCATGCGCAATATGTACCCAGATAGATATATGTGGGCACACAACGCAGGCAGGGCTACATTCCATGCGACAAGCCGACACAGCTTGTTGGCTGGAGCAATGAACTTGTACCGTCGGAACATTATCTATTCTTAATTTTCATGACAGAACCATTTTCATTCTGAATTAGGTATATTTTTCACCAACAAAAAGGCTGGTGGGTGGCTGGGCGATATTGTCGCCGAATAATACTGCTGCAGCATAGCACTTACTACGACACGTAGTGCGATCCAACCAATGACATTGGCGTATATCGAGGTCTGAATAATGACAGCAATACCAATATGGTCGCTATTACACGTAGCTTGGGCGTGATAGCGAGCTTTGAGTATCCTGCTTCTTGCTGAGAACATGTCCTGAGAGCTCGGAACCCGTCATCTATGCACCATTACCGTCGTAGGGCACACGCCTGAAGAGTATTTACAACTGCTGCCGTAAAAATCAAAGTAGATTTCAAATGGGTAGAGGATTTCTCATAGATCATCATCATTGTGGATTGAAGGGTTTATCTCATGTGGTTTTAACCTCTCCCCTAATGAGAAGCAAACTAATTCCAAACGACTGTTGCGTGTACATTGCCTTCCATCCACTGCTGGGAGCTGCACCTGAGAGACTCATACTGATGCTCTGCCCTGCTGCTCTGGCAATTACTATTCATGTGGTGGCTGGGCAGCTGCAGGCGTTTCGCCTTTCAAAACTATTGCTGCGCCCGAGGTTCGCGCGGTGTAAGTTGCGTCCGTAAACGTTGTTACACAGCCAGATAGAGGTAGCGATTTCTTCCTCAGATGGTTATTACCACTGTACGGCCGGCGTGAGCCCGCCTGACACTTATCCAAGCTCCGGTCGGCACTCACACGCACATACACACGCCCGCACCCCTTTATACCCTATGAAGCTTCATACGCGAAGCATACGCGGAGGATGTGTATCTGGATGGATTACGTGGGAGATAGAGCTGGCAGGGCGCAGTGTCGGAAGAAAACATATTTCCACGTACGGCAAGCAAGTAGCAACAAACGATACAATACGTGCATGCGACAAGCCCTTGCATGCACATGCATTCAGTTTGCATGTTCGGCTATTGTCTGTGTGACTGGAAGTCAGCGCCCCAGCACCCAAATGCAGATCGGACGATAACAGCTACATTTGTATAGATCACGCGCATCTGTTACCGTCGGCGTACATACGTCCGTGCGTGCAGGCGACAACAGAGCAGCAGGCGGGCAGCAATCCCTTCACCAGTCGGACAATGATTCTCATCAGATGGATAGCTCAAATCAGGCGTTTCCATCCGGAGTTGATAGATAAACCATGTTCTTCCAACAGTTCTTCATTCCTAATTATTAAGAGTATTTATTACTTGTCATAGCACTTGGGCTCGTCCTCAAGCACGATCTTGTATGCGTACACCTCGCCCTGCTTCAGCACCTTCACTTTCACTACGCCCTCAGCGCCCCTGTAGATGCCCGTGCCACCGGTGACGGCGTTCTCGAAATAAGCAT